TCTCCTGGTAGAAAGCTCAGCTCAGACCCTTCAAGTAGGAAGGCCTCAGAGAAGGCTGCAGGGCACGCAAGCTCATACACAGAACAGCCACCTGGGTGCAACCTCTGAGCTGAGGCTGCATCCAAGGATAATGTTTGTAGATGGGGTGTGAGCAAGAGGGACTCACACACCCCTAATGGCCTGCAGCTGCTGCCACTCACACTGTGCCCAGAGGTACAGCCAAACTATACTGTGCTGTGGGCATCCTGCCCAGGCTGAATCCAAACCGAGCTCAGCCACCAGCTTACCACAGCCAAAATTCATACTGCAGAGGCAGGAGACTTGGGTTCCAGTCTCAACTCTGCTGCTGACTTGCTGTGTGACCTGGGCAAGTGATTTTACTTTTCTGGGTCCCATTTTCCCCTCTGCCAGGAGAGTTAGACAAGATTATCTTTCCTGTCCTAAAAGTTTATGTTACAAGGGAAGATGAATCGAAGTGGAAGGGAAATGCTCACCTAAAAAGTGACTCCTGAAAGCTCATCCCTATATATCCCTTTGGAGCTCTGGTGGCGAAGTGGTTAAGAGCTCAGGCTGCTAACCAAAAAGAAGTCGGCAGTTTGAATCCACCAGCTGCTCCTTGGAAACCCTATGGGGCAGTTCTACTCCCTCCTACAGGGTCATTATGAGTCAGAATCAACTCCACGGCACACAAAAACAGCAAGTATATCCCTTTAAAGGATCTAAATGGACCGCTTTGTAATTAGCACATGAATTGCTTGCTACCGATGGCACAACAGCGCTTGGTACATTAGAAGTTTAATCTGGACTGTGAAGGGCAGGGTAGGCAACACCCTGAGCTGAAAGTCAAGAGGCATAAATTGGACAGATAAAATGAAGCCTTATCTTAAAGAGCCTTGAATGTCAAGCTTAAACAAGCTTGAGTACGATGAAGCAAACACTGGAAGGGTTGAGAGTGCCAAGTGGGAGAGTGACAACAGATATGTAGGCAGAGTCTGGGCCTCCCTGAGCCAGATGGATCATGTAGATGAGATCAGGGCTGGGAGACCAGGAAGATGATCCTGTGTCCATTCCCTTACCTGGGACTCCTAGTGGTAGTCATTCCAGCAGAGGGTGGTCACTCTGGTCCTCCTGCCTCTTGTTGAATCCATGACTGGAAGAACAGGAAGGGGAAGGGATCATCTTTAATTGAACTCTTACTAGGTGCCAGTTACTGAGCTAAACGGTTTATATAATTACAGCATGTGTGCCACAGGGTGCTACACACCACCATCAGGGTAAGTATCACCATCCTCACTCTACACACAAGACCCAAAGGTGTGAACCAACCTTTTCTAGGTTACTTGGCTTGTAAGTGTAGGGCCAGATGTCAAACCCAGCTGTGTCTGATCCAGTCATCATTCACTCATTCATTCCTCTTCCATGAGGAGGCAACAGATGAGCTAGAACCTGAAAAATAAGAAAGAGTTCATTATGCAAAGATCTGTGGGAAGAAGGTACCAAGCAGAGGGACCAATGTGAGCAGCAGCCTTGAAACAGGAAGGAGCTATTTGAGGAAGAGAGAAGAAGGGCGTGGTTCTTATGTAGTGAGAGGGGCATGGTACAAGATGAGGTCAAAGGTAAGCAAAGGCAGATCTTGGGTAATGATAGGACCTGGATTTTCTTCAAAGAACAATGAGAAGTCATTGGAAGTCTTTTTAAAAAAGAACACCGTGATCTTATCCACATTTTTCAAACATAACTCAGGTTGTTCAGGGAGAGTATGTAGTAGGATAAGACAGTAAGAGTTAAGGTGAGGAAACCAGTTAAGAGGTTACTGCAGCTGTCCAGTAGAGATGACAGCTTGGACTGAGATGCTAACAGTGGAGTCGGGGAGCAGTGGACAGGTTAGGATGTATTTTAGGTATGGCACCAGCAGGACTTGTCATTGGATTGGATGTGGGAGTTAAGAGAAAGAGATAACTGAGCACTCTCTGCTACACCACACTGCATTAAATGGCCTTAGAGGCCACTTAACCTCATGTGGCGCTTTCCAGGACTGGGTGTTCATGCTCCATGGCACTCATTGGAAACTCTCCACCCAGCAGAAAATGCCTTCCAGGAGTGAGTTGCGTTTTGTCTCCCTGGGACAGCACCTCCATGTTGTTCTAAATCTCCCCTCTGGAGGCACCACAAGGAGATGGTTTTCTCTTCCTCAGGACTGCCTCCAAAGAGTTAATCACCTTCCTGCCTTTTCTTGCTCCAAGACATTAGTGTTTTCTCTTGGGTGCCAGATGAAGGACTTCTACATGTTGGCTTTTGCTGTTGTTCCTGCTTCTTACATCTTCCTAGTCTTCTCTCTTCCCTGATATCATCTCCTATCCATTCACCCACACACACATATCCGCACACACACACGTACATACACACGCACACTCACACTCATTCACAATGATCTCTGTAATGGCAGGAATTGTATCCTTTATTTGTACTCATCTCTGTCTGCCCCCTTGGCGCCTGCCCAACCTCTGAAGTTTTCAGGGGGAAAAAGCAAGAATAGAATCCACTGAGTCTGAGCTGCTCACACAGCAGCAACTCATCAGCGCTTTCCAAATCCCCACTATAAGATGGGTTGTTCTAAGCCCCCAGCTGACAGCATCTCAGAAGGGAATCTGTGATCAAGAGGATGGCATTGGATCATGGGACACTCCCCTCCTACTCAGATTTTTTGGATAGGTTAAGAAGGTGCTCTTCTCTCCCTAAATGGGTTTACCTCAGCCTGTCAGCTTCCGGTGTGACTCACCCCACTTAAGTACTATTTCCAGCCAATTACACCCGCCTTCACCTTAACGCACTGGAGAAATTAACATAGATTGACTAGATGGCAACTGGTTTGGTTTTAGTTTAATGTGCTTAAGCAGCCTTCAGTGCCAAAACTAATGCAGATGACAAGGAGGTTCTGGATCTACAGCCTCTTCCCCTACTTTCTCCCCTGTCAGTACTTTGTTCTAGTAGCTGAGAAGCCCTATTAAGCCAGCCCGGCCGCTCCTGTTTTAGGGCCAGCCAAGCCCCTAGAGGTGATCGCCAGTGGGGAAAAGGGCCTTTTGAAGATTACACATGAGCAAAAAAGAGAGGCATTGAACATTGATGGAGGTTCCAGGCTTCAAATTCTGGTGGGAGCTACAGATCTCACTGAAAAAATAAGTGGGCAGAAGGGAAAGACATAAAGGGAAGAAGTAACCACTACCCGTATTAGAGGGATTTAGATATCACAAAAGTGCAAAGAAAATTAAGAATCAGGAGCCCAAGTCATTTGTCCAGTTCTGTTTTTGCTATGTGACCTTAGATAAGTCAGTATGTCTCTCTGGGCCTTTTCCATTCAACCTATGCTGGTTGATGACTACTCGGGGCTAAGCATTTTACTAGATAAACTGGGGATTCCAAGGCAACAAGATGAAGACTCTGCTCTCTCGGAGCTCACAGTTCTGTGGGGAAGCCAGGGAAATGGGTAATTACAGCACAGCGTGACAAGTGCAACAGTGCCCATTCCTCATCTATAAAACAAGCATGTTGGCCTGGAAAATAATAGCATTGATAGTAATAACTAATACCAATTGAGCTCCAAGTCCTCCTGGGCACATGGCACCGTTTTGCTGAAAACAACTCTTTTCAAGGTCACCAATGACTCTCCCTAACCCCAACATTGCCAAATCCAAGGTCAGCTTTCAGCCCTGCTCTTACTTAACATACCAGTGACGTGGCACAATTGACCATTCCATCTTAGAAAGAGTTTCTTCTTTTTGCTTCAAGGACACTACACTCTCTGGTGTTTCCTCCCACCTCTGTGCCACTCCTCTCAGTCTCCTTTGCTGGTTGCTTCTCCTATCTCTGAGAGCCTCTGGGATCAGCCCTCGGAGGTCTTGTCGTCTCTGTCCGCTCTCCTTCCCTTGGAGATCTCATGGCTTTAAGTATCATCTAGAAGCTGACAACTCCAAACTCCTGTCTCCAGTCTTGATCTCTCTCCTGCACTCCAGACTCATACATCCACCTTGGATGTCTAAGGGACACCTCAAACTTAATATGTCTCAAACCAAACTCCTGATTCTCCCCAAACCCTAAAATAAAAACTCTGTTCCACCCATAGACTCCCTCATCTCAGTAACTGGAATCCCAACCTTCTAATTGCTTGGGCCATACAACTTTAAGTCATTCTTCATTCCTTTCTTTCTTACATCCCACCACCTTGATATTATCTTCAAAATATATTCCATATCCAATCACTTCCCACAATCCCATTGCCATACTCTGGTCCAACCCACCATCATTTATTGCTTAGAGCGGATCAGTAAACTATAGCCCATGGGCCAAATCCAACCCATCATCTGTTTTTGTAAATAAAGCTTTATTGGAACCCAGCTGTACCCATTTGTTTACATACGGCCTGTGGCTGCTCTTGCACTCCAAGGGCAGTGCTGAGTAATGACAACAGAAAGCCAAAAATATTTACTATCTGGCCCTTTACAGAAAATCTTTGCCAGTCTCTGGCCTAGATTATTACAGTAATAGGTCTTCCTATTTCTACCCTTGCCTACACTATAACCGATTCTCAACACAGGCAGAGGGGATGTGTTTTAAACATGAGTCAGACCCTATCACTTCCCTACTTGAATTCTTCAGTGACTGCTTGTCTCCCTCACTCCAGCTCACCTGGCCCTGCAGCAATAACCCCTAATTATCTCTCTGCCCTTATCTCCAGCTATCTTCTATCTCAAGCTTCTCCAACCACACCAGGCATGGGAACTTTGCCTTTTCTACTCTCTCCATCTCTAATAATTCTCACCCCTTGCAATGGTCATTTCCTCAGGAGGCCTCCCCTGATGGCCCTGTATAAAACAGTGCCACCTCCCAAGTACTAACTGTCCCTCGTACTGTCTACTTCTCTTCATAGAACTTACCACCATCTGACTTAATATATATTCTCCTATTTACTTATTTACTGTCTTGCCTTCTTGGCTTGAGGAATTCTGCAGGATATGCACACTGTTCTATTCCTCGCTTAGCTCAGTGCCTAGAACACAGTAGGTTGACTGAATGAATGACTAAAGGAACAAATGCTCACTATGGGTCAGTGTCTGTGCTAAGCCTTTCACATGCTTTAGGCCACCAACCTCGCAACAGCCTTATTAGACAGGCACTGAGACTCAGAGCCCAAGGACAGCCCATCAGGACTCAAAGTCAAATGTGACACCAAAGCTCACAGTTTTAACCACCGCCAACTCCTAAAGTTATGCTACTCTGTAACTCTTCGAAGATATTTTAACCCATGCGATCATATTTCTTCCTTGTTGCAAAACTGCCAAGTGGGTATTACCTTTCCTATTTCCAGAAGAGGAATCTGAGGTTCAGAGAGCAAGGGGCCAAGGTTGTTGGAGGTGACAACTTCAGTCCAGCTCTCACCTGCCTCTCCTTCCACAAAGTATTTTGCTTCTCATCACCCTGCCTTCTGCTACAGCAGCCAAAAGGTTTCCTCCAATGTATTTGACTATTGTTTAAATGACAGGAAGTTTGTTTGTTTGTTTTTTCCATTCCCTGTGTGGATTTGGAACTTCTGGAAACTCCTTTCTTCCTTGCCCTGACCCAGCCCTGAGCTGGCCTGGGACAAGTGAACACAGATCATAGGAAGTGTCTCCGAGGAGCCAGCAGGAGGGGGCTGACAGGATGTGAGTGCGTTAACATATGCAAATTGGCAAGGGTAAAGAAAACTGGGAAAGCTGCTATTTTATCATTTGTGGTAATTATAGTAATTTAGAGTGGTGAATCAATGGGTTCCTGGAGGTAAAAGCATCTCGGAAGAATAATATGGCATGATTAAGAAGTTCTGGTTAAGAACCGCCGTCATTTTCACTTTAAAAAGGTAAGAAAGAGACCGGGGTCACAAGTGCAGAGACACAAGTCATGAGGGTGAGGACCTCAGTCTGCCAGGTTCTGTCCCGGGCACTGGGGACACAGAGAAGGATCAGAATTTCCTGCCTTAAGGCATTCACAGAGGGAAGACAGACACAGTAAACGACTATTCAAACGAACTGTGATACATGCAGTAACACTTGTAAGAGCTATAAGTATAGAAGAAGATACAATGAACTTTGTCTCAGAGGAGGGAATGGTCTGGTAAAGCTTAGACAAAGGATCATAACCGAACAGGGTTTTGCAGTATCAATAGGGCTTTGTAACTGACAGCTGACAGGGGAATGTGATTTTCAGGTGGAGCTAACAGTGCACGCAAAGTGGTAGAAGAGTTTGGAGAGCTCCAAAGGAAAAGCTGACTGTGCAGACTGGTCATTTATAAGGCTGGCGACACCAGCAAGGCCTGACCATAGAGAGCCTCTAAGGCCACATTGCAAAGCCTGGACATGACCCAGCAGCTGATGGCAGCCATAAAGAGAGAAGCAGGGAGCAACTTGGTCAAAACTGAATTTTCAAAAAACTTGTTGAAGCCAGAGAGTCAGTGCAAGAAACCAGGGACTCTAATAGGGGAGTAGGGGTAGAGGACAGGTCAGATGAGGTAGGAATAAGCCCCTGACACAGAAGCAGGAGACTCAGAACTTGGAACTTAACAAGTC